GAGAGAGAGAGAGAGAGAGAGAGAGAGAGAGAGAGTGTCTCTACATAGCTTCCTCGTGGTTTCCAGTCTCACCTTCTCTATGGCTCCTCAACTTGAACTTCCTCTTTGTGTAGACTCCAAGTACAATGACTATGCTCAACACGACAACCGCGACTATGACACCAACAATAATCCCCGTATTACTGGTTGACTGCTTGGGTACTGAAGTGGTGCTTTCAGCTATCAGACGTGTGACAAATGATGTTTCTGATATACGTTATGTAAAGCATGTATGATGTTCACATTTGTCCCATTTTACTGGTCTCATATCATAATGTATCTATTGGAAAGTGATTCTGAGAACAGTTCTGAGCATAAAAAGAATGAACGTATCGTAACCTAAGAGGTTTGCGTGAACAGTAAATTTTAAGTTACAAACGATTCAAACATGTTTGTGTCCAAAACGTCAGGGACGATGTCACTTGTTTTTCATTAAAGTCTCATTTCATAATGTATCTATTGGAAAGTGATTTTGAGAACAGTTCTGAGCCTAAAAAGAATGAATGTATCGTAACCTAAGAGCTTTACGTGAACAGTCAATTTTAAGTTACAAAAGATTCAAACATGTTTGTGTCCAAAATGTCAGGGACGATGTCACTTGTTTTTCATTAATGTGTTTTCCCTAATAGACTAAAGATGAACGAGTGACGTTCCACATTTTTATGAGTGAACCTGGTTTTCCTAAGAAGCCCTCTCACGAGCTGGCCACTGCCCACGTATTTTCCCCGAACTTTCAAAAGCAACCAGTGCTGGTGTTTCAGAGCTAATTGTTTTCTTCCAGCTTGATTTCACTGCTACCTTGTTTAGCAGGCGCTGCCTCACTACACAAACCATCAATACAGAGTTTTGAGAGGACGTCTTCAATGTCACCTACAGCTCGTCGTCTTCTCGTCTGTGATACTGCACACCATTCAGAGAGTGTCACTGTCTGATCAGAATCAATACACTTTCCACATTCCTGCCAGGAGTCGTTGCCTTCATACTTGACTTCCAACTGAATGCAACCATTCTCTACCACCTTCAGCCAATTGACTTTCACAGTCCCATCATCTTTGTCGTACTCAACAGTAACTAGCATTTAAATAATGTCAAGAGAGTGCACAAACAAAAACTAATTAAACTCTTCAAACCTTTCAACCTCAAGTTTTAGAATCCTAATGAAGATACATGTGTGCGCACAAAGAAAAGATTAGAGTGCAACTTATCTGAACTGAACCAGCTGAACACCTTCTCTTTGCTTTAATTAGACTTGTTGCGTGTTACCCCATGAATGGAATTTAATCCTGACCTTTCTTGGGAACACTGCAGAATCCGTCAGGATTCCACAGTTAAAACGAAATATTTTTAATTATCAGAACTATAAATATCAGGCTGTAAATACATGCTTGAAGCGTTAGCTTCTCATCTCGTGAGTGTAGCTAACACATCCAGATATGGAAGGCACAGGCCACGAGTGGCTGTTTCATGCTGTTCTCATCTACATGTAGTAAGTGTACATATAGATACCGGTACTGGTACATATAGATACATGTAAGTTACACACTGTCATCATGAACAGGTGGACTAACCGCTGTAGTTGTGACATGTATAGGACAGTAAGTGTGAAAAATAAAACCAGTGAGAGTTTACCTGTATCTGGGCCTGGAGGCTTTGCTGCAAAGACAAATCGCAGAAAATAAGATTGATTTCATTTTCTATAGTGTTATTTACATTCTTCATGTAATGCGACCGGTGGCTGTTGAAAGATAAAATGTTTTTAAAGGACATTCCCCTATCTTACCACATAACAGTATTTGCAGTACATGTACAATATACAATTCTATTACGTGAGTTACGGTAGGCTTATCTATATTTTGGCATAGAATCGTCCATAATTTTAAAAACAGTTTTGCTGTTAGTTTGCCGCCCCCGGTCAAGAGTTTCAATTTATGCAATAGAAAGAAAACGCTTGCATCCACATAAACAAGCTATGTACTGGTATGTGTGTATCTGTACATGTATACATTCACATTTTAATTCCCTAAAACAGATGGTGCAAACAAAATATGTACATGTATGCGAATATGTACATGTACAATTCAGGCCTAAACCTCAGCGCTCTAGAGACAGGTATAGGTTCTAAAATGCTAGTACCGGTAATTCTGGTACAAACCGCTGCAGGATAGTGAAAAATATATTCTTTAAAATGACCATTGAGCTAGCACAGACACGCCTTCGTGTTTGAAACTGTCATACAGATACATGTAAGTATTCTTCATAAAGATGAATAAAATGAAAGATCGCAAATGCCATGGTTTGACTGTATGTGAGTATTGCAACAATTTTGACTCCTCTACTTTAAGTTTTAAAATTGACAGCATGACTCCACAGTAATGGTTACAAGACAAGGGTGCAAAAAGCCATTCAAAGTCAATGGTACGTGTAAAGCAAAAACAATGTCCAGTGGGCTGGTAAAATTTCCGAAAGCTGTTAGTAGTACAGATACGTTGCAATTAAAGAAGCTTTATGTTAAGGCCTGGTAATTAATGCAGCACTGGTACATGTAGCATTCCAACATTTACAACGTACTTCAGGCACACTGATTCTATTCACTCCGAGCAGGAACAAATTAGGGCTTGTTTTAAAATAAAATTGACAGTCCTTTGGTACGCACTCACTGTACAGGATGCGAAGCATACTGTGTACATATACACGCAATCGATTTAATCTTGAATGGTTTTTGCATGCACACATTAAGAACCTAGCTGGAAAACTTAATACCATCTGTCTTTCCTTCGCCAGCGAGGGTGCACAGGGTGCAATTCAGCTCAGGGTAGATGGTAACCTCACATCAACTTTAATCAAGGGACATTCTGAAAGCTTGACAGTTTGAACAAAAAATAAAATGACTGGGATGGGACTTGAACCAGTAAACCAAGTAATGTTGATTAAGCACTTGTCTGAAGTTCCATTACCATGTTATCCAGTACGGTACCAGTGCATGATAATGCAGAATTTTCTTCAGGGATGTTTAACCTACAGCCAAGAATTCAAGGGTTTCAGAAACACTATGTGCGGCTTTGGAAAAAGGTCGACGGATTTCGCACACCGTGATTGGTCAACGCGTTGCAGATTCTTGAAGGGTCCCTATTTGTGAATCAGCCATATTACTCAGGTAAGCAATGCACATTTTGATCTGAAAAAAATAATGAATTTAAATCTTGATTGAAGTCTCAAAATTTGGTACTGCTAAGGCAGTTTGAAAAAGTGCAAACACACAGAAGGAATGAGGAAATAATGTATCCCACGGTGAGCAACAAAATGCAAAATTATCCACAAAAGACAGGCCTCACAGTCTAGGGGAATTCCTTGACCTTGGCAGTCACAGGGAAAAAAATTCTGCTTCCTGTTCCCTTCTTCGGCTGTCGTGGAAACGATGCATTTTAATCACCGAAGTACGGTACCTGCACATTTTCTTCAAGTTTAACCATTACAGGCAGGGAAATTTCAAGCTTTCAAATGTTAACTGTTAATTGCCATTCCAGTTGGTCAAATTACTATGTGCTATGATCACGCTGTAGCAGCTCAAAGCACAGCTGATGAAACTGACGGATACAAATTCGAGAAAAAGGAAGGCCCCATTTATTGAAATTCTTAAAACTTTGATTTTTTTCTCCAGTTTTCTCCAGATATCAGTTTGTTTCATTTTGGCCATCAAACTGAGAATAGTATTATTATTGTTTTCCATTTCCTCCTATAAGGAAATATTGTCACCTTGTTTAACCCCAACTGTTCTGAATCCAACAAGCATGATTTCAATGGTATAAACTTCAGCAGGACTGCCGCGGATGGCAGAGGGTGGCGAGGGTTGCCAACTCAGAAAATGACATTTTTCAATAATCACAGAAAGGCAGTTCTTGGGTATGTTGTATTTCCTTTCCTCCCGAATCATATCAAAAGTCCTTATTAAATGGGAATTATTTAAAATGCAACTTTTGGCGCTGCTGAAAACAAGTTTGGCCTCAGATAAGTCTGTCCTTGATCCAAATATCCGAATTCCAGCCAGACCAAACATGGGTACCGGGTATGGCGTGCTCATCATGCATACGACGTCTCCCTGGAACATTTGTTTTAGTTTCTCCTCTTGTTTCTATATCTCAAGCTTCTGTTGAGGCTTGGTTTAGACTTCTGTCATTACTTTTTACATTTTCAAGAAACATGAGATCTTTGGAAATGATGAAAAATTACCAGAGTACCAATAAAATGCTTATGAAGGTGACGGACTTTGTAATGCCAAATCTGATACATTTATGTTTTATGGCAATGAAAATGCAGTGAAATTCAAATCATATACTTACGCAATGTGTGTCCTGCTACTTTGGCATAGTCAGTATTTTCACCGATGTCATTCCTGGCATACACCCTGATTTCATACTCCGTGTAGTCCTCCAGACCTGTCACTGTGTATGTCGTCTTCCCACCTGTCTCACTCTCACCAACACCTGTCTCTGTGGAGTCTAACGTCTTCAGGTAGCTAACACGGAATGATTGTTCCTCACCACCATTATACCCTGCTGTCCATGTCACTGTCAGAGACTCTGCCGTCTGACCAGTGATCATAACTCTGATAGGTTTGTCTGGTCTTCCTACACACAAACAGGATCACAACTTTGAATTTACATGTACAGGTACAACCATGTTGCTTCAAAGTAGCAATGTTTAAAGGTTTGCCTGGCAACATTAATGAAAGCTGATATGCCTGTCTCTTTTAAGTCAAAAAGGAAAACAATAAAGTTTGATTTATAAAAGTTTACTCTCTGTACAATTCTGGTACAACAATATCTTTAATTTTTTAATGGGGGAGGGCTTCCTATTGTATTGTATAGAATCTGACTCACTTGTTTCAGTGAGATTAACCCTCAGCATGTCTGCCTCTCCTACCCCATTTGTGCTGGTACAGGTGTACGTCCCAAAGTCCATGTCAGAATCAATATTGTTGATTGTCAGAGTGCTGGTCACTTGGAACCCATACACACCATCTCCTCCTGTCGTGACATTCACCACCATGAACTTAGCCGTGTCTGTCTCATTAGTTATCACTGTGTTGTCTAGACCATACCACTGCATAGTTGGCCTAGGGTTGCCTTCAGCAATGCAGATCAAGGAAGCACTACCCCTATCTTTACCACCTTGCTCAGTCATTTCTTTATTAGTGATGTTAACCTCATCTAAGAGAGTTCAAAATTCCATAACACAAGGCAGCATAAACATCTTACCCTGAGATGCCTTGAACACATTGAACACATTATAGCAATGCACCTTCTGTAGAAAAAGACTGCTGTATTAAAAGAAATGTACCTTTTTCATTAATAATTCTTACACTAAAGGATCACTTACAATATTACCAAAATTATTGTGAGTGTGTCGAAAATGCAGACGTTACTACCATCTGGTATATCAATTCATTTGCAGTGTATTTCATTTCTAAAAAAACAAGAGGGCAAAAAAATAAATTGCATTGGGGCAGAACATAAAATAAAACTAGAGAAAAGTGTTTGTAAACAAACACAGAGCTGGTTCGGGACTGTTTTACCAACAAGATAAGTATTGTCGATCAAAGCTCTCAAACTAACCCAAATGCTGGGTTGAAAACGTGTACAAAGTCAAGGGG